CGGTACTGGGGGGCCGGCATGAGGGTGGGGGCCACGTCGTTGCGGATCACCTCAGGGCGGGCTTCCAGCCCCCGGTGCAGCTGGCTCAGGTCATAGTCCTGCGTGGGGGACGTGAGGAGATGACACTTGAGGGACAGCCATGGGCACCGCCATGCTGGCACCCAGGGCACTGTGGCAGGAGGGGATGTGGGGGGAGCAGGTCTGCAGCAGCCTTGTGCACCCCCAAACATCAGCCATGGCTCAGGGAGGGTGTTGCAGGGACCCCCCTGCAGGCAGGGTCTGCCGCAGCAGTGTCACCTCACCTGATCTTCCTCACCGCCGCCCTCCTCATCGTAGTGGTAGACGTTGTCCCGCATGTCGTCCTCGGGCGGGAGCAGCGGCTCCTTCACCACCTTCCTCCGCCTGGCGAAGAGCAGCAGCAGCAGCAGCAGGACTGCGGGCGGAGGGCAGCGGCGTCAGGGCGAGGGCGGCCCCGTTGTCCCCGTCCCTGACCCCGCCGATACTCACTCAGCAGCGCCAAGATGCCCCCCAGGATGCCCAGGATGGCGGGGACGCCCAGCCCGCTGGCGATGAACGCTCGCCGCTCGCAGTTTTTGGCCGCCCCTTCGCAGTCGCACACCTGAGCTTTGACCGTTGTCACCTGCGCCTTGCCCTGCGCGTCCGTCAGCTTGAGGAAGATGTTGTACTCCCCCGGCTCCAGCTCCTTCGTCAGCCTCAGCACCAGCAGGTCTTGCAGCAGAGAGAGGCGTCAGGCTCCGAGAGATCCCTGCTCCTCTCCCCACGCCAAGGGCTGGTAGCCAAGTGGCACCTACCTTGTCTGGTCACCTTGACAGTCCAGTTGGTACCGGAGCCGTGCTGCAGCTCTGCGTGGAAGGGGTACGTGTTGGGGGGCAGATCCTTGTCGATGATGTTCAGCGTCTGCTCCTCGGGCTGCCGGTTGCAGATGTCGAAGAGCCGAGGCTCTGGCATGGGCCCGTTGTCGTTCACGTCCAGGAGACGGAGGAGCAGTGTCCCCGTGCCGGTGGCATCCGGCGACCCTGCGGGGCCAGGGGTTAGCAAGGCACCTGGTGAGGGGGTCCCGGCCCCCGGCGCCCCAGGGGGACAGGGCAGGGTGCTGCTCACCGCTGTCCACGGCCAGGACGAAGGCCTTGTAGGTGCTGTTGATGGCGTGCACCGACTCCCGGTCCAGCGGCTGGGCCACCGTGACGATGCCATTCTCGGGGTCGATGGCCAGCCACCCCGCGGGGTCACTGCCCATGCGGTACCTGCAGCAAGCGGGGGGTCAGCGGTGGGGGGAGGCTTCACGCCAGGGGAAGGGGGGCACAGCACGGTGTGGGCCCTCCCCCACCAACCTCCCACACACACTCACATGATTTTCTGCCTCTGATCCCTGTCCGGGTCCTGGGCCGTGTAGGAGGTGACCTGGTGGCCCAGTGGCAGGTCCTCCATCACCTCCACCCTCTTGACTGGGGGCACGAAGATGGGGGCTTCATTCATGTCCCCAACCATCACCAGGACAGTGGCCGTGGAGAGCGGCAGTGGCACGGTGAAGGGGACGGCATTCTCCACCGTCACCACCAGGTCGTACCGGCTCTTGGTCTCATAATCCAGGCCCTGGACAGGATTATTGTAGGAGAGAGAAGCCACGGTAGTGCCGGTGCTGGCGGGGAGGCAGCCGGTGCCGGGGCAGCTGCGCGGTGGCAGGACCCACCTTGGCGGTTTTCAGGATGCCGTCGTTGGTTTTGGGGTCAGTGGTGATGCTGAAATCACCATCCTGGTCCCCGCTTTTGATGCGGTAGACGGCTTGCCAGGCAGGAGAGCCCTGCATGTCCTGGTCCGTCACGTGCAGCCGGGCCACCACCACCCCCACCTCGTTCTCGTTCACCGTCCCCTCGTACTGCAAGAGAGGGGACAGGGGATGGTCACCCCGGTGGTCCTGTGCTCCCTGGGGCAGGGGGGGCTCGTGCCATGATGGCCTGAGGAGGGTGGTGGCTCGCGGGAGCCAGCTTGCGTACCATGGTGGGGTTGAAGATGGGACGGTTGTCGTTGGCGTCGGTGACTTCCACAATGGCAGTGGCAGTGTTGGTCAGGCCGTTGCCCTCCTGGTCCGCGGCCTGGATGATCAGCGTGTAGTTGGGAGTCGTCTGCAAGCCAAAACCCACAGTGGTTAGGGCAGGGGTGGGGTCCGGCGTGTCCCCCTCCACCAGGGGCATGGCCTGCCTGCTCTCCCACTCTTCTCCAGCCACCACCGGCACAGACACTTGCCGATGTCCCCAAAGGGCTGGCAGTCCACGCGCCCCCAATGGGCTCGGGGCTGCAGATACCCCCAGAGCAGGGGACCCAGGGATGACAAGTCCCTGAACCAGCTGGACCCCGGGGCTCTGGCGGCCCCAGCTCCCCGTGGCAAGTCCCACGGCGTGGTCCCCCAGGACGCAGCGAGGACGCCCACCTCCCGGTCCAGCCCGGTGCCGATGACACTGATGATGCCCTTCTCCGGGTCGATGGTGAACATGTGTTGTGCACTCTTGGGCTCCTCGCTGAGGATGGAGTAGCCAATGATGCCGTTGTTCACGTTGATCCCATCGTCCGCGTCCGTGGCGTTGACGGTCATCACAGATGTGCCTGGGCACGGGGACAAGCAACGGAGATTTCACTCGTGGCACAAACCCCACCGGACACCCCGGCACAGCTCCGGCTCAGGGCTCTGTGCGGGCCCAGCCCCCGGCTCGCCAGTCATCCCCGCACCCGGCTTCGCGTTCTCCTCGATGTAGCCTATGAAGACTTGCTTGGTGAAGACGGGTCGGTTGTCGTTCTGGTCGGTCACGGTGATGATGATCTCCATGGGGTCCTCCACGGGCTGCCCGCTGGCCGACACGGCGTGGGAGAAGAGCTGCGAGAGGTGCTGTTAGCCCGCCCACAACACGCTCCCCCCTCGTCCCCTCCCCACCCCT